GCAGCACAAATAGCTAAAGATGCTTAATCTAACGATATGCAGATCGATAAATGATAACAGTAAGTACTATGTAACCAAGAGCAGGGCAGAGCAGAGACCTAAAAAGAACACAGTTCTCCGCCATCACACAATTAAATATAGACTATACTTAACTACAGTGTTAGCTCTTACCAATAAAGTGTGGTGCCTGGTGCAGTGGCGCACGCCTGTGATCTCAGCACTGAGGGAGGCAGATCACTGTGAGTTCGAGGCCAGCCTGATTTACAAATCAAGTCCAGGACAGCCAAGGCTACACAGAGAAACCCTGTCTCAAAAAACCGAGAGTGAGTGGTGAGAGAGGAGAAGAAGAGAAAAAGGAAAATGTGCTGGCACACATTTTCAACCTCAGTACTCTGGAAGCAGAAGCAGGTGGATCTCTGAGTTCGAAGCCAGACTGATCCACAGAGTGAATTCCAGAACAATCAGGTCTACACAGAAAAACCCTGTCTCCAAAAAAATAAAAAATAAAATAAAATATTAAAAAAATAAATAAAAGTATGGGATCTATAGTCCTTAATAGTGCTACGCTGTACTGAGAGCGCTTACTAAATCTTACCGGTATATTTTGTTTTTAGGTAACACTGTATGGGTTTATATACCTAAGATGGTTTGGTCTGTAAGTAGAAGAGGAGGTATGGGGGCTAGGGAGATGACTCAGAAGATGAAGGTGCACACTGCCGAGGCTACAAGCTGAGTTCTAGCTCCTACCCACACAGTGGGAGGAGAAAATCACCTTTCAGAAGTTGCCCTCTCACCTCTAGCTTGAGCACCGTGACTCAGGAACACACACAGACACACTAAATATGTAATTTTAAAGTATTTTTATTTTCTTTTAAAAAAGTGGAACTAGGCTGAGGATGGTTAGCAAGTTTAAGGCCAGCCTGGACTTATGAAACCCAAAGAAAGGGTGGGAAAATCAGGAAGACCCACGGAGGCTCTTACAGTTGTTGGCTTGAGTTTTTCAAATGGGAGAAAACTTGACTGAGATTGGAAAGCTAATGCTGTCCAAACAAACAAAACAAAACAAAACAAAACAAAAAACAGAACAATGGGAGTAACCACACTCTCTCCAAATGACTGTGCGCAGGAGCAGATGAGGTAGGAGACATCGGGAAATTGTGGGTAGGATTGAAAAAAGAAAAAAAATCCCTAACCATACGTCCATTTTCTAAAAGGAGGTTTTCGGCCATCGGCAGCTGAACAGCAACCTTAAAAAACTGGTAACAGTGCAGAAAGACCTTTGGGAGGAAAAAGACACTGCAGAACAGAAAGAAACAGGAATTCCCAGAGGGAAGTGGATACAAATTCCACCTCTAGCTAAGAAGCTATTCACAACTGATAGCTGCCAGGAGAGGGGAGACCAGTTTTCTTCAAGGAACTCACACTGGGTGTATCAGCCACGTTCCAGGGTAGGAGCTGTGTTCAAGAGTGATTGAGCAACATTCTGTATATGTGTGTGTTGTTGTTTCAAGAAGAAAAAAAAAAAAAAACCGTTAAGTTAAGTGGGTAAGTAGGGGAGAATCTGGGAGGAGTTGGGAAAGAAGAAAGAAAGTGATCGAAATAGATTGCATAAAATTCTCAAAGAATAATTTAATTTTTTTTTTCCAAAGGGAAAAAGGAACTCCCAAAACTTAAAGGGCTCAGCTGAGCTCGGCGGCTGTGAATCTGTGTCTGTTCTTCGCCGGATTCGCTCCTCAGGTCTCTACAGTGCAGGGAAAGGAAAAGAGCAATGGGGTTGGCGTGCGCCTTGTGGACGGGGCATACGCTGGGGCATGGGTAGATAAGGTGGAAAGACAAGAACGGTGAGATACGGAAGACCCGAGTCCCCAGCCCAGGGAGGTATACATTTCAAGGGAGGGGGGGGAAGAAATGCTGCTCTGAAAAGATAATGAGAGAAAGAAAGAGTAAGTCCACACGTTCTTACATGCTCAGAGCGAGAAAGAGGGTGAGATGAAGAGTGTACAGGATTGCCAGTTGAGGAGGGAGTGGCCACAGCCAATTCCGGTGGTCAGGGACTCCGCAGCCACTGCCGCTCACAGTCTTGGGGTCTCTCTTCCGGTGGTTAAGAACGGATGAGGTGAAATATTAAGTCTATAGAAGGACAGGGGAAACTTGATGAGCTCTACTGCAGCTTGGCGAAGTGGGGACAGCTGAACCCCAGTGCAGCTCGGGGAAGTGAGCAGCAAGGAGAAGGGGACCGTCTGAGTCTCCCCTGCTGGCACTCCGCGGGGATCACAGTCAGCTGAGCTTTCTCCAACCTAGACTTCCTGCCCACAGGAAGCTGGGAAGTCCCTGAGAGGCGGGCCAGGGGAATGTCTCCAATGGCTGGGGATTGCCTGGCAAAAGGATGTTGAGGTTTCTCTCAGTTGGGCTTGTGTTACCAGGTTTAGGGGGAGACAACAGATGGGATCAGTTCTGGGAAGTGCTGGTGAGCTCTTGGCAGGGCCAGCAGCAGGCAGAGCAAGCTCAGACAGCAGTGGGTATTCTGCAGAGACCACAGCCTACTTCCTTCTTCCTCTCCACTTAGCTCTGACTGACCACCGCTTCTCCTCAGGCAAGCTGACAGTTTCCCTTCCATCAAGTGACGCAGCCCGGTCTCACTCCCAGCTTTCTCTAAGACAGCTACTGTGTTACCCCTCTCATTCAAACTCTGGGCTTTTCCTGCTTTGATCTAGGCTATTTCCTGTGCCTGGATTGGTCCACTTTATTTTGTTTTCTGAGCTATCACTCCAGGCCAGTCCTGGTGTAGTCCCACCCCTCCCAGAATCCGTCATCCTCCCGGATCCCTTTAAATGTGCCATCTTCTGCCTTTCCTTGTACACACCTGTTTTCCTGCCTGAAGATTCTCGTGGGTAAAATCTGAGGGTGGAGATGTGGTTTAGTTAGTAGGGTCCTTGCCTCCCATGACCAGCATAGAAGACATGAAATTCTATCCAAAAAAAAAAAAAAAAAATCAACATTGGTTTCAACTGTTTTCTTTCAAACTTTTGCTTTGTTCTCAGAACGTAGTAAAGCCGTGATGAAGCTGATATTAATTAATTCATTCATAATTAATTCAAGACTGTCTTTCAAATAACTCACAAGCGTGGGTCTACTATAAGGATTTCATGCGAAATGTCAAAGAAATTACAACGTTATGGACCCTCGGCTTTGGTCTTTTGCTTTGTGGGCTCTATGTATTGCAATTTCATTTCCTGTTCACAGGCCCTTGAAACAAAAAGCCAGTTGCTTTGAGGCAGTGCGAAATCTCATGTACTACATGGCTCAGACACACCTGAAAACAGTTTGGCTGCACCTGCTATGAATATATACACTTAGCCCCCATGATTTGACCTTGAAAATGTCCTGTTGTGTTAGAAAAGGCTCGAAGCATTATTACAATACCATTTTAAAAATGTAAATGATCATCCATAACAGAAAGAACAAATTATGGTCTAAACATGAGATGAAATATTACACACCCATGAGAGTGATAAGCTAAAGTAGTAACTTAGACAAACTTCATGGAAATGTTAAGTAAAAGAAGCCAGGAGCCCATAGCACCATGGGATTCCACTCACATCCAGACCAAACTAATCTGTGAGATTTGAAGTGAGAATGTTGCTCACATTTACAGAAAAGACAGTAGAGAATGGTTGGGGATGAACATATGACTTTTCCAAAGTCAGCCCCAAAGTAACTCACTGACACGTATGTTTCTGTATGTAGGTCACACTTAGTAAGAAAGGTTTGTTTGTAAGCACGCCATTTGGCTGCCCTGGGAGTGATTCCTGCAGCACTATAGTCTCTTTCTGTACACAAGCCAAAATCTCTTCCATACCAGGCTCCTTCTCCATTCATGCCTTATTTGGGAGGAGGTGTGATGAGCAGAAGTTGAGTGAAAATAACTCTGGCCTGCTGGAGTCTCCCAGGGGTCCTCTCCAGAGCAGGGGACAACTAGAAACATGTTCCTGAGAATTTCAAGGCTCAAGACAATCCAGCAGCCTCAGTGAGACACTGCTCATCCTTTTTTCTTTTATCTACTTTATCCCACCCAGACCCAAAGCATCCAGGGACCCCCAACTCCCAGCCCACCCTTTTCTTCAGAATGGACGACCAAAAATCCAAATCCAGGGCCCCAAATGAACTTTTGGGCCCAGGTATACCCTCCCTTTTCTTACCTATCTGACCCAACTTATCAACCTCATCCACCTCCATGATAGAGAAAGGAATGTGATTGCTCACTCAACAAACCTACCTTGAACACCTGCTCTATCAGGCATGAATGTCATACATACATGCTGACATACATACATGCTGACAGTCTGTAGTCTCCACACACAATGTGACAAGGACTTATTCAACCTCAGTGTCTAGCCCTCGGCCCAACACAGAGCTGCTCAAAACAGATCCAGAGGGCAGACGGGAACAGAGAGGGGGCTGTGAATATGGAAATAAATATGTATCAAAGGTCTACTTGTGCCAGAGATGATTCTGGATGCTCAGAATACAGCAATGAAGCAAAAAGATTCAAGTCCTGGTTCCTAGGACCTTACATTCTGGTGGGCTGAAGAAGAAGCTATGGGGCAGAAAAGAACGTAAATAAGCAATGTAATACATAGGGTGGAAACAGGAAATGAGAGAAAATTTCATAGAGCGAAAGATCAGGAATTGATGACACTCTCAGTGGGGAGGAAAACTTGTCAAGGTGGTGTTTGGGCAAAAATGTGACAGGATGGAGAAAGCCCACGGCTGGTGATGTAACTGCTCCCAAAGAGAGGAAAGGGAAGCCTGGTCCACACATCATTGCAGCCTTCCACAGCTCACACCGACTAAACGCCACTCTACAGTGAACTGAACAACGGCCTGCAGAACCTGGACCATCGTCTCTAAACTCTCCCCTCGCTCCCTGTGTTCCAGGTGACTACATAGATGGCATGAGTCTCTGCCAGGCCTGGCTCACACCAGCACAGGATCCTTACCTTCGATTTGATGACCCCTGAGGAGCAGGAAGAGCACAAGCAGCACAATCCGTCCCAACATCCCCACAGGACAGAGCAGGCCAATGGACCCCGTTCCTCTTCAAGTGCTCAGATGTCAATAGGCTCTGCAGCTACCAGTCAGTGGGACACAAGCAGAGTTACCTCCGTGCCTGTCCAGCCACAATTTCCTCAACTCTGCACTGTTCACTTCTGCTGTGCACTGACAGGGCCGCTGAAAAAAGCCTCAGTCCCTCCACTAGGTCTAACAGTTCCCACAAGCGAAGCTGCCTATGGGGGCGGGTGCTCAGAGCGCACAGTGACTCACCAAACCGGCTGCAGAATCTTAGCCCTTGCTCTGCCTCCGCCTGGTGCTTTATCCTCAACCTTACCGGCAATGTGGAGAACAGCCGCGATTCCAGACTACCCCAAACCAACACTCACTGTGGAAGCAGAAGTGGGAAGGAACTTAGGGGTACAGTGGGCTGCGAAGAAGAGCCCTCAGTAAGCGGCTGCTGCTGTTGAAGGAGAAGGTGTGGGGTGACTGAGGAAGAGACATCAAATTTGGACTTGCTGGGAAATACCTAAGCCACCTAGGGAGTCTAGGATACCAAATGTTCAGCGTATGCAAATTGTGTTCCTCCTTTAACCTATCCCCAGTAAGGATGTGAATGCGTTTTTGTGTTGCTCACCCCCATTCATAGCTAGATTCCATCCTTAGAACAGCAGGCAGCAAAGATCCCTTTGAATTCCTAGGAGGGCTGGAGGAACCGGTATCCCATCTCTCAGAACATTCTACTTCAAGGCTATGCCCAGAGGCCACGCCTCTTTCTTCTGCTTTCCCCTTAGCAACAAATACCTGTGGTTCTCTCCAAATCCACTCTCTTTTTCTAGCCTTGAATCTATTTTTAGACTGACCAAAATTGAGCAAGAGTGGCATCGATGAGGCATGTGGCTGCCAGCGGAGGCAGTGTGGACGCTCTGATAAGACCTGCACTTGAACTCCAGCTCATAAACACATCCTGTGTGGCGCTCACCAAATTACTTTCTGAGTCCTCAAGATCAACAGCACTTGGGCCGGCGAGGTGGCTCAGTGGGCTAAGGAACTTGCCGTCAAGCCTGATCCCCTGAGTGTGATCCCTAGATTCCACATGATGAAGACAGAGAAGTGACTCTACCTCTGACCTTCACATGTACCCAAAATGTGAGTGAGCACACACATGCACACACACAAATAAACAAATGTATGTTCTTCTCCCCTAAATATCAGCAATACTTCAATCCTTGGCATTCCTTCAAGAGAGTTTTCAGTATCAAATTAATAGCTATCCTTGAGAGTGTGAATATGAAACTCTGGGACACACATGTATAAAAATGTCATAAGAGAACCCATCACTTTGTATGTTAATCTTTTTACTTATTTTTATTTCGTGTGCATTGATGTTTTGCCTGCATTTATGTCTGTGTGAGTGTGCACGTGAACCGTGCAGCCAAGGAAACTGGCCTGGAACCAAAGTGAGATAAAGATGTCCAAACCCCTAAAATCTCAATCTTGAGACGCACAGGAGGAAGGACTGCTCCCTCCCTGCTCTGTGCCTGCGTGCACACACAGCATGCAGTCTCCCTGCCCCCACCTCCGCAATTAAAAAAATTATTATTATCATTTATTACAATTTATTCAGTTTGCATCCTTGCTGTGTCTCCCTCCCTCCTCTCCTCCCTCCCTCTTTTCCCCTGGGTTTCTCCCCTAGTCCACTGATATTTGACCCTAGCCTACTAGGTCTCATCAGGACTGGTTGCATTGTCTTCCTCTGTGGCCTGGCAAGGCTGCACCCCACAGGGGGAAGGTGTTCAGAGAGCCTGTCACTGAGTTCATGCCAGAGAAAGACCCTGCTCCCCTTATAGGGAACCCACTTGAAGACTGAGTCTATGGGCTACATCTGAGCTGGGGTTTTAGGTCCTCTCCATGCATTGTCTTTGGTCGGGGTATCAGTCTCTGCAGGGCCCCAGGGCTCAGTTTTATTGGCTCTGTTGGTCTCCCTTTGGAGCCCCTGTCCCCTCCAGGTCTTTCTATCTCCCCCTTCTTTCATAAGATTACTTGCACTCTGCCCAAAGTTTGGCATAGCCTACTACCTGGAATTCCTCTTCATGCAAATAAAGCATTCCCAGCACCTTAGCCCCAGCCAATAACGTACACTCACCCCCCCAAAAAAAACCCTACCCATTTCTCCAACATGTACGTAGCCCTTATGCACCCCCCCCCAATAAAAAGAGTTGTGTCACTAAGAGAGGTGTATCGGAGAAGGCGATCTCCCTCGGGCACTCACTGCTGAATCAGGACTGGCTAAGCTTCAGTCCTTCAAGTCCAGCACCTTTATGCATTGGTGCTTGGATTCCCCTAAGGGAAAAAGCAACCCTGGGCACTGGACCAACATGTGAGGGCACTGGATCCTCTGGAACTGAAGTTACAGACAGTTGTCAGCTGCCATGTAGGTGCTGGGAATTGAACCAGAGTTTTCTGGAAGAGCAGTGTTCTTAACTGCCAAGCCATCTCTCCAACCCAAACAGATTTTTGTTTTGGGGATTTTGTGTGTGGTTTGTTTGTTTGTTTGTTTGGTTGGTTGGTTGGTTGGTTGGTTGGTTGGTTTTGTTTTTGGGTTTTGGGTTTTGGTTTTTGGTTTTTGGTTTTTGGAGACAGGGTCTCTTTATAGCTCTACCTGTCCTGAAATCCACTCTGTAGACCATGGCCTTGAACCTGGAAATCCGTCTGCCTGCGCCTCCTGAGTACTGTGATCAAAGGTGTGTACCCCCCCCAATATGTTTATCTTTTAAGTTAATAATAAATAAATAAATCTGAATGTTTCTGACCTACCCTTCTAATTCATATCTTGAAATCTAATCAGTAGTATGGTGGCATTAGAACGTGGAGTATTCAGGGAAGTAATCAAATTTTGAAAACAGAGCTCTCCTGAATTGAATTAATGCTCTTATTTTAAAATCGGGCTCAAAAAATCCTATTCATTGCTCATTCTTTCCACCATGAGTAGACCCCCAAAAAAAAGGAAGAAGAAGAAGAAGAAGAAGAAGAAGAAGAAGAAGAAGAAGAAGAAGAAGAAGAAAGTTAGTTGTCTGCATGCTCCCCAAAAGCCTTCTCTGAACCTGATCTTGTAGTGTTCAGCTCTCAGACCCATGAGAGACAAATGTGTAAGCTATCCAGCGTATGTATGGTGTTTGAACAACCCAAGCAGACTTCAGTGAGGTTTTGCTTCTTTATCATCAGCCTACATAGCTTATTTTTCCAATTAATGTAATAGTTTTTCACCTCTCCTCTATTTTATCTCTTTCTAAGATGCAGCCCTAGACCCCTGGCTCCCTCATAGCATCTTTGACCTTTAGAGATAGTTTTAGAGATACAATGCAACAGAGTAAATTCTCTTACATGATAGATGGAAGACAAGGTCCAGCTATTGGAAGCAAATAATGAACATCCAATGAATTTAAAAGCTATCTTACCCTGGAGGAGAAGGCAGGACGTTGCCTTGAGTCAGAGATCAACTTGGGATACATACTGAATAACAGGTAGGCAGGGAATATAAGCAAGACATTGTCTCCATCCTCTCCTCCAAACATGGATGACCTACCATCTCCTGAAACTGAATTGGAAGAAGTGCCATATACACCTCTCTATCCTGTGCTCCTAAAAAGCTCTACCACGTATAATTGGTAATTCTTTCTACATACTGCCCTGTCCAGCCCTGAGACCTTCAACATAAATGTTCCCCTTAGCTAGTGTTTCTAGAGCCCGCTTCTTTCCAGATAGTTCAACATTATTCGGTGCTGAAAGGATAAATGAATTACCTAAAGAGAAGGCATTTTCATTCCCACTGAGATACAGAGTAACCTATTCTATCATAGTCCCTCCCCTCAGGATGGTTATACTGTGCCCTGCCAAGTTCTTGGGTGGGAAGCTTCTGTGAGATTTAGCTACTTTATTATAAAGATTCAAGACTCTACAAAATTCATGTAAACTCAGAGGCTGCTCTAGCTGTATATTTCATTCATAGATAGATAGATAGATAGATAGATAGATAGATAGATAGATAGATAGATAGATAGAATGGATGGACAGATGGACAGACAGACAGATTCCCCAAGTCTCTGAAAGTCTGAGACACAAGCTCAATCAAGGGCTTTGAAAATCAGCAGCCAACAAGAGGTTAAAGGTTCCTCAAACTCTGTCCTTCCACTCTTTTCCCAAAGTAGCTTTCACTACTTTACAGTGAGTCAGGTCGTCCTAGGAAATCCCAGGACTACACACCTCCAAGTACTTGGCCAACTTGGGAGCCACAAGCCTACCTTAAGTTTGTTAACTCAATAGAAAAACTCAAAGAATTCATGAAAGCTACTTTACTCTTGCTCATAGCACAAATAAAAATATAGATAAAAATGAAGCAAGGGAAAAAGAACGTAGTGCAAGGTCAAGGAAAGGTTCAAACAGAGTGACAGTGAACAGAGCTTCTGGTCCTCAGAGAGTTAGGCAGACAGAGCTGAATTCTCAAAACATGGTTACAGCGCCTTGTACATATGTGCAAAATTGTCCCCAGATTGTTGTTAAATTCAACTAAATGTCTTTCAGTAACAATATGGTTTAATATATAATTAAAGTGACTAATTTTAAAATCATTAAAGAATATAAATAAATGAAATTACAAAATGAAATGTTTAAAAAAAGAACTTAACTGCTCCCTGAAATTGTATGTGACAATCTGTATGGAGTATTGCCGCCAGAAAAGCTGTCATGTCTAGACTCTTTGTACTTGGTCACATGGATGCAGGCTCACCGTGCACACAGCTGACCTTATTCTCTGGCCCCTTCAGGTGCTGAGTGGACCACATCCTCCACAGTAAATCACTTTGTTGGCACAGACCCTCTGTCATGGTCCAAGGTCCCATAAATGAAGGTACTGTTAGCAAGATTCCAAGGCTTAGAAATTACCTGGTAAGAGCCAAGGGGAAAGACCAGGCCTTTCTTTGGGCAAGGTTAATTCTTTTGTGAACATCGAA